CTCACCTGGTCCTGGTTGACTAGCTCACTGCACACCTGTGGGCACTAAATGGCTGTTGACTCTATATAAAGAGCTCTGCCCAGTGCTCTGGGCGTGACATGGTGGCAGGGCTGCAAGGCTGCTGGAGAGCAGAGCAGAGGCTGGACTGGTGGCAGCGCCGAGGACAGAGGCCCAGAGAACGGCTGTGTGGGACGACTGTGCAGAGAGGCCCAGAGGACAGCTGTGTGGACAGAGGGGCCCAGAGGCAGAGACCAGCTTGCTGCCTGCAGACTCACTCTGAGTGAATGGGATTCTAGTGACTGACCTGCCACCTGGAAATAAAGTTGGGTATAACCCTTTCACCCCCAAGAACATTTTGCTGTCATTTTCTTTGGTCACACTGAATCCATAGCGATCCTGCCTGGGGCTGAAACCGATTGGCAAGACACCTCTTAAACACACACACACACTCTGCTACTATGGAGTCTAACCTGCATTCCCTTGTGAAAAACTCACCCCAAACCCAATTCATTTATGGTATACAGACATACAGTATGCACTTCATTGCTATCTCTGAAAAAAGGCTGAGGCAATCTGTCCATGAATACATAGGGGTGAGCAGGCCACAGTGCCTTCAGTTAGGGACTGCAATGGTAAGTGCTTCATTGGACTGAAGCAGTTAATAGATTCTAAGGCACATGTGTTCTACCTCTTTTACCAAATGAGGTAAAAAGACTTTATGGAATAGTGCTGTGAAAGTGCCTGAATGAGTCTGAGTACAACCAAACACCTCTACCTGGTTAAAATACCAGGGCCTTATTCTGCCTGTTTTCATAGACCTTTAACAGTTGTCCACCAATCCTCCCAATAACTTGAAAGCAAATACAGCATCTCAGAGAGCTACAATGTTTAATGAAAAACAAGATATGTAATAAGGAAACCAAAGATCCCTTTGTGACATCAGGGGCTGAGCTCACAAACAGTACTGTCATAACTATGATGACCTTACCTTTTTTTTTTAATGGTATCATTAATATACAATCACATGAGCAACACTGTAGTTACTAGATTCCCCCCATTATCAAGTCCCCACCACACACCCCATTACAGTCACTGTCCATCAACATAGTAAGATGCTAGTCACTACTTGTCTTCTCTGTGCTACACTACATTCCCCGTGCCCCCTCCTCCCGCCACATGATGTGTCTAATGATAATGCCCCTTAATCCCATATCCTTCTCTTCCCACCCACCCTCTCCATCTTGGGTTCTGTGAGTCTGCTGCTGTTTTGTTCCTTCAGTTTTTCCTTTGTTGTTATACTTCACAGATGAGTGAAATCATTTGGTACTTGTCTTTCTCCACCTGGCTTATTTCACTGAGCGTAATACCCTTTAGCTCCATCCATGTTGCAAATGGTAGGATGCTTTCTTCTTATGGCTGAATAGTATTCCATTCTGTATATGTACCATATCTTCTTTATCCATTCATCTATTGATGGGCACTTAGGTTGCTTCCATTTCTTGGCTATTGTAAATACTGCTGCGATAAACTTAGGGGTGCACATGTCTTTTTGAATCTGGGATCCTGCATTCTTAGGGTAAATTCTCAGGAGTGGAATTCCTGGGTCAAATGGTATTTCTATTTTTAGTTTTTTGAGGAACCTCCATATTGCTTTCCACAATAGTTGAACTAATTTACATTCCCACCAGCAGTGTAGGAGGGTTCCCCTTTCTCCACATCCTTGCCAGCATTTGTTGTTGTTTGTCTTTTGGATGGACCTTACCTTTTTATATGCTAAATTCTCCTGCTAAACTGCCTCAGGATAAAAGAAGCAATAAGGAAACAACTTAAGTGCCTATCAATGGATGAATGGATAAAGAATATGTGGTATGCATATATACACTGGACTGTTACTAAGCCATAAAAAAAGAATTAAATATTGCCATTCACAACAACTTGGATGGACCAAGAGGGTACCATGACAAGTAAGTCAGAGAAAGACAAATACATGATTTCACTTATATGTGGAATCTAAAAAAAATTAACAAACAAAAAAAAACAGAAGTAGACTCATAAATACAGAGAACTTGTGGTAGCCGCAGAGGAGGGAGATGGACAAAATAGGTGAAGCGAATGAAGAGGTACAAACTTACAACTATAAAATAAATAAGTCATGGGGATGAAAAGTACAGCATAGGAAATGAGTTGATAATACTCTTAACTTTTTATGGTAATATATGGTAACTACGCTTACAGTGAGCATTTGATTATATATGTAATTAAGGAATCACTATCTTGTATGCCTGAAACTAATGTGATATTGTGTCACCTATAATTTAAAATTTTAATAAAATTTTTAAAAAGTGTTAAGAAATGGAACAAAAGTGACAAAAGAGTGATATATCTGACTTGCAATAGAACCTAATGAATAAAAGGGATAAAGACGACATGCACTAGGTAGAGAGGTGGGAAACTTTGTAGAAGAAGATTAAATTTGATGCAGAACTTAACAAAATTTGTAGATGACTTTAAAGGAAGCTAAATAGTAGTGTTTACAAGGGATCTTTTTGGAGTGCTGGATCTTTTTGGGTGTAGTTAATGGTTACAAAACTCTACAGATTTACTAAAAATCACTGACTGCTATACTGCAAATAGGCGAATTTTGCAGTATATAAATTATACCTCAATAAAGCAGTTTTTTCTTTAAGTTTGTTCACTGAAGAAGTGAAAATATATTAGGGTTTCTTAGACTAAAGAAAGGAAGTAACCAGAAGGAAAAGTACAGTAATTCACTGAACAGAAAAGAAAATAAAAATTTTCTTAGGTTAAGAAATATTACTGTTTCCATTTCAGACCAATAAATGACAGTATTGTGTCTCTGGGTAATTTTCTACAGACCTTGTTAAGACCACAAAAGCTTACCATCTTAAGAGTAGAAAGACAATATATACGTGACAGCCTTAAATGTGGAATAAGGAGAAGGAACACTCCAACTTAATTTCCTGTCACCTAGAAGAGCAGTAACAATTTATTCTGATCCCATCTTACTGCATATGCCTGAGATGTAGAGACAGCACCTCCTATGAGAAAAGAATTAGGAAATGTAAAAGCAGCAAATCAAATTTATAGTTGCTTTAAAAGAATGTATGGTAATTTCTTTACAAGCATGATGAGGATAGTCATCCTCAGCCAGTCAAAACATCCAAATGGGGAATTTTTTGGTATTTTTGGATAAGACTAATTTGCATTGGTTCAGGGACTTTTTGCAAAAGTTTCCAAAACAGCAGCACTCTTTTTTAAATTTATCCCGTTTGCAACTACATACTGTTATCAAGCCCAACTGCACCTATAAACAACCACAATTCACATTTGCTCTGAGCTATGAAAATATTAACCTTCTCTGACTTCCCCTGCACCAACTTCAGCAAACCCTGTATCGAGTCTCAACCGCCCAAAACACCACACAGGTCTCTCTAATTTCAGACCTGCTAGTCTCCTTTCCTCTCTGACTAAATCATTAGCAAGCCCAGAAAATAAAAACAAAAACCTCTACTAACTCATGTAGGTATTTTCTTTCCTTCTCTCTCCATAACAGAATGTTCTAGCAGACATAAAATGAAATAACATACATCAATATATAATTTTTGTTCCTCTAAAAATGGCTATAATAAAGGCCAAACTAGTTCAAGATAGTGATGTTCACATTATCCACCCAGACTTGAAAAATTGTAATATCAATGAACTTATTAATATAATCTCAGTAAAAGAACATACTATAAAAGTTTACAGTACCATGCCTACCTTAGTAGGCATTCAATAAACGTCAGCTCTTTTCTTTCTTTTCCATTAATTCTTATAGTATTTCCATGAAACGGTTCCTGTTTATTTTTACCCCAATATAAAGCAGGAGAATAGAAAGACGGTAATTTCCTGACTGGCCATTCAGATCAGGCCTGGAAAACTGAGGCCACTACATGATGATGAAGGGATTCATTTGCATTGTTAAACTTTAATCTCCCTCCCTTCCTAGGCAGATGTGTCAAATCCAAGGACGAAGTTCCTTCTCCTATGAGAAATGACGCAACTCTTCCTCACAGAGATATAATTACAGTTCCTGTTCTTTTTGACAGAGAAAGCCAGCCTCACCAACTTTTGCTGTTCTAATGCCCATGTAACAGGAGTCCAAAGGTTGTCATAAACCCACAGGACCCGAGCACAAGTTCACAGGATTCCCATCTGGAGAACTGTAGGGAGTATAAGAGTGTTAAACTGTTTTTTTGTCTATCAAGTTCACTTTCTAAGTGATGCAGTTTCTTGCACCAATGAGCAAAGATTAGGGAAACCTAGAACTACATGAAGTAGCACTAGCCCTTACTTTGACAGGAAATGTTCTGACAGAAATAGGTTTGCAGAGCTGTGTGAAGCTGCCATCTATAGCTCTTTCTGTGGACATCTGACACAGACAGATATATGAGCCAAAGTCAAATCTGGTGTACTTTTGTTCAGGCCCCAGAGCTTAAGATAGGAATGCAAGCATGCTGTGTCAAATCAAACTCTGGTGGTTATACATGGACAGATTCTGTCATCAGTAACAAAACTGATAGTTGCCAGTGACAGTCTGGCGACTGTCATGACAGCCCCTTTGTTGCAGTCTACCACTCATACAAGCTACTGAATTTTAGAGTGACGAGAAGAATTAGCCAACCTCTCCCTACCCACTACCCCAAGATGATTTACATAATGGCTTCAATGCAAGAACTTCTGCCCTCCAATGACTGGATCATTGTGTGTGTGAACTAAATGGTTCTGTTCTATGACCATCAAAATTTTGTTTCTTGGCACTCAACATGTTCTAACAAAATACTACATAGAGTCCACAAACCATGGTGACAGACTATTATGGGACCATGACGACTGTTACCTAAACAATAATCCATTCCAAACTATTCTAGTGCACTAGAACTGAAAATAAAACACCTTAGGAAAGGAGGCAGGAAAGAATAAACAAACCTAGGACCTACCTTGTTCACAAGTCCCAAAGACAGATGAAATTCAATCCATGCCAACCATACCCTTCAATCTCTAAAACAGAAACAGAAAAATAAACGTTCATGGAATATAAGCAGCTCATCCAGTTCCTGAAGGGTATTTGGTTCCAAAGGGAAGAAGCCGTTTCTTATCTCCTAAAATTTATCCTATCCATGCCCACAATAGTGGCTGAGTTCTGTCACCTGCAAAAAGGCCCAGATAGGTGAATTACATAATAAGTAACACTAACTGAGCACTTCCTATATATATGCCAGGCACTGTTTGAAGTGCTTAAGTGTGCTAATTAACTTAATCCTTACAACAACCCTATAAAACAGCTATTTAATAAGTAACACTAACTGAGCACTTCCTATATATATGCCAGGCACTGTTTGAAGTGCTTAAGTGTGCTAATTAACTTAATCCTTACAACAACCCTATAAAACAGCTATGCTTACTAACTCATTTTATATCCAAATAACAACTGACCTTATAGCTCTGAAACTGCTCTTCCTTGTGTTAAGAAATGGCTTTTAAATAAAATGTAGGCAATCTCAACCATCATAGCTAGGCTATCTCAATGGTTGATATCTATAAATGTTCCATATTTATCCTTCATTATATATTTCTTGAGTCCCCACATGTGTTGAACACTTATCCCAGGTACTAAAGAGGATTCATTTTCTGTCCTTTAGGAGAACTAGTTGGGGAGATTAGATGAAACTACAAGAAATGGTTCAAGAAATGGAACATCCTATTATGAGGCACACTCTCTTAGTGCAGTCTTTCAGTAGACAATCAGAAAAAAGGGGAGGAAAGCTTCACAAAACAGGACCCTAAAACTGGACCTTTAAATGCAGAGGACACTGGCAAAGAGAAGAGAAAGGCTCTTCAGGCAAGGAAATGAGAATAAAAACATGGTGGGAGGGACAGACAACTATCTATGGTCATTCATAATCTGATCCCACCCAGCCACTGATCTCCCTACTCCCCCATTAGCCATAGCAAACTTCTTAATTCTAGGACAGAAAGTCTTCTATAGTTTCACTGTTTCTCCTACATCCAGAATGCTCTCCCTCCCACTTACCCTGGTGTAACACTAACTAAACCTCTATACAGTAGACATTCAATATAAGTCATTGTTGTAATGACTTTTATTACTTAAGATCCAACAGAAACATTTTTCTAAAGCCTATTCCACGTCCGCAGAATTACTCTGCTTGCCACCACACTCACATGGCATTTGTCCATTTCTCCATTAGAACAGTAATACATTTTATTGTCCTTAGGTTTCCTTTTCTTCTTTCTCTCTTACTTGTCTGAAAGGGAACCATCTTTTACACAAGTTGATATCCCCCAAAACCTATCATAGTGTCTGGCACACAACAGGTGTCCATTATGTTAACTGAAATACTAAATACCTCGAATTTACAAAATGAGTAACAGTAGGATTCTTCTAAAAAGTCAGCTCCATTAGTACTTTACTCAGTTTGTCAAATCTTGCACACTTTTACATTTTCATGAATATGCCTGCTACACAATTACACCAACTACTCATGTACCAAAAAAAGTGGATTCACTAAAAACTGCCACTTGCTTTTGCTTAACAACAAAACAAGGCCCTCATCCATGCCAGTTGAGACAGGAGAAATTAATTTAATTGACAATTTAGACATTGTAGCTCATGACCTTTCTTACTGAAACAGTGCCACAGCTTTGTATGCAGTTATGTATGTTTAAACAGGTATTTATATTGGCTTTACTCATGGATCATAGAGGCTTACAAATTTAGAAGTCCAATCATAAATCCAAGGTTTATTTATAGAAACTTTCCATATGGTAGGAGTTTACGAAGTAAAACAGCAGCCTTTTTCCCTGCTGAAAGCAGAGGGTAGCAGAGCACCAAAGGAGTAAACTCTCTCCTGACTCTATTCTTGGCACTGCTTAGAGGAAGAAATGAGCAGGGCAGGCAAGAGCCTTGCTGAAAATCAGTCACCCAAGCCAAGAGGCATTTTGAATGTCTGTGCTATTCAAGGCATAAGTATTAATTTTATAATTTTATACATGCCCGTGTTCATTTGAAGCACAATTTGTGGCCTGGAACTTAAAAAATGTTCTAATGTGCTAGTTTGTCCACATATTAATCAAGTCAGCCAGGTTTGAACATGCCAAGCTTAAAATACTCTCAAGATCATTATGCAAAGGTATGAGCTCAATCCTTTATTCTCAGGGAAAGGAACTTAGGGAAGAAGGACTAAAGCAACAGTATTTCAATAGAAGACATAACAGAAAAAGTCAACTTCTAAATAGTGATGAATTAACTTAAAAATATCTGAACAGAAATAAGATACTAGCTAATGACAGATTTCTTATACTTATTAATCTCAAAATGAAATCCTGGATTTTTAGTTCAAAGTTGACAGAGAACGTATTTCGAAACTGATTTTTACATGAGCCCATCTTATAAAAAGGTTGTTTTAGTCATCCACTAAGCCCCTTTAAAATCCAAGTCTAACTTACTTCCTTTTAAAATGAGTTAAATTTTTATATGATTATCATAAGCAAAGTCCTTTAAATCTTTTATCTTATTGGCTTCAGAGGAGTGTCAATAAAACCTAAAATTACTAAATTTTTATAACTAAACCTCCAAAGTTCACACATCAACACTTTCATTTTCAGCTGGGGAACCAGAGCAGAAAGGGTGCAATGACATGATAACAGAAAACAATGGGACCAAAATCTGATTACTAATCCAATGTATTTATTCTACGACATACTGCTCAACACACTGCTTTATTAAGATAGAAAATGTTTTGGAAATTATGAAAGAAAAGTTTAAATATCTACATTCATCACTTAACTGAAAAGATTTTAAAAATTAGATGTGTATGTCCTGAAGACTTGGAAATGCCATCCCTTAAAAACTTGGCCAGTAGAAAATTACAACAGTTACTGTCAATGCTCTTGGCCCAATACATGCTCACATAGAATCTCTGCTGGAAGTTTAGCTTTAAAAAATTCTCCTCACATTCCAAAGGGGATGAGATAATTTTTACAAATTAAGATGACATTATCCATATCTTCTAAAAAGTAAACTTTCCACAAAAAATAAGCAGTTTCACAGAATTCAGGGCCTTCTTTCAAAAAGCATTTTTTCTGAAAGAATGCTATTGTCTCATTTTAATTTGGGGGGAAAGAGATGCAAAGAATAAAAGGAAAGTAACAGTCAGTGGAATGGATGGGGGGAACAAGAAAAGGAGTACATAGAAAAGAAAATCAATATAAAGGTTCAACTCAGGTATCAAAAAGGGAGGAGAAAAAACAATTCCCAATTAGATTAACTAACTACAGTTTCTAAGCAATTGACCTCAACAGGATATGGTTACATACTGCCTCAAACTGAACACATATGAAAAAAATCTTAATTTCATTCTGCCTTACTGCTCTATTTGCTCTTTCCTCCACTTCTAAAGAAAGAGCATTAAGTGGACCAGGTCCCCTGGAACAAGTAGAGGAGTCAAAAATGTGAGCCTATGTAGCCACCTCAAAGTGCTGTTACTGCCTGAAGCTACTAGAGTCTCCAAAGGAGATTCAAAAGAGACCACTGTGCTCCCAGACATGTCGATAACCTCCTCTAGAAAAGACTAGAACCTACGAGAAGCAATATTCTCTGCTGCCTTTCACACTCACCAAAAATCTTTCCTTTCAAATTACCAATTTAACTTGGACAAAGATTTTAAAGAACAGTTAATATAACATTTTATTAGTGATAAGGGGGGAAAAGAAGCAATATCATACACAGCTGACCCTTGAACAATGCAAAGGTTAAGGACACCAACCCTTTCACGAAGTTGAAAATATGTGTATAACTTCTAACCACCCCCCCCCCAAAATTTAATAGCCTACTGTTGACTGGAAGCTGTACCAGTAACATAAACAGTTAATTAACACGTATTCTGTGTATTCTATGTATCATATGCTGTATTCTTAACAGTAAAGTATGCTAGAGAAACAATGTTTTTCAAAATTGTCACAAATCTGCAAAAAGTTTTCCAATATATTTATTTTTAAAAATCCACATATAAGTGGACCTGAGACAGGCACCATGGATGTAGTCAGAGTAGGGTGAGGGCATCCGAAAAAAGCAAGATAGGATATTTACAGTCAGAGCAATGTAACTACATGCAAGGAAACCCCCTACCAAAACTCCATGTTAAACATTAAGCTGTAGAGTCATCCTTCAGAAAGATCAGTTAATATTCCCCAAAGGAAAGTAGCCCATTTTTTTATTATGCTAATCATTTGTAATCATGTCTAAGATTCACTTTGCATGCTAAAAGGCCCAGGCCTATGTGCTGTCTTTCCTCCTTCAGACCTGATGAGGTGATTTGCAATGTGCGCAATTAATAATGGCAAGCAAGCCCAGCCATAAACAACATAGTAAAAGGCAGGAAGGATTCCACCTTAAAAATAAGATTGCATTTTAATAGCCAGGGAGTTAAGTAAGAAGTAAGATTCTTAACTTACTCTTTAGCAAACAGACAATAGCTCAGCCCATCTTGGGGGCTGGGCAGGCGGTCTTGTTTCATATGCTGCTCCCAGACCAAGACACAGGTATCTCAGGGAAAAATTCGAGCAGTAAATTTCTTGTGTTAAGTTAATTTTAAATATTCAGGGCTCACTTAACAAGTCCACACCCCTAAGCCCTTTATCACATTCCCCTAAATCCTTAACTGCCTATAAAACCCCCCAGACAATGCACAAGCATGGTGTGCATTGTCCCCTCCTGGTGTGAGCTAGGAGTTCTGTCTTCTCACTTTATCTCTAAATAAAAGCCTCTCCCTGACTCTCCTACCTTGAGTGTTTGGTAAGTTCATTCTTCGACTCCACAAACAAGAACCCCGGCATCAGACCCTCATAGTTCAGACCTGTGTTGTTCAAGGGTCAGCTGTGTACTGTATAAAGGGAGTAAAGAAAGGGAGGGAATAAGGAAGACCTATGCAGCCCTTCTGGTCAACCCAGCTGCTGCATCAACCTAACAAGACACACTCAGT